TTACAACCTTGTCCATCACCTCCCCCTCCCTCCCAAGCTGCTGACTCACACAAACTAAGTATGGCTGCTGAATCCAGACATTATTTGCCTTTAGGTTTGCATGGAGAAGAAAGTGACAAGAGAAAAAAATGCAGCCAATCCCTTTGTTGTGGAGGGAGGAGGAGGAGGAGGAACAAGATTTCTGGCAAGAGAAGGATTTCAAATCCACTGTTATTCATTCTCTAATCTGCATTTAATCCACTTTATCTTGAAGTGGTGTTTTTTTAGGCAAACTCCTTTATGATCTCTGAGTTCGGTCAAAGGGACAGTCCTGGGGTTTAGAGTCTGTAAATCAAGAGTGTAAAGCAGGAAGGTGAGGAGAAAGTATCAACAAGTTATCAACAAGAGGAAGTAATAATGCTAGCTCACATTTATATATAGCTCTCTAAGGTTACAAAATGTTTTGTTCTTCTCAATGATTACTTGTTCTTGACGGTGTCATTCAAGGTATCATCAGCAATATAACTCAACAAAAAAAAAAGGTCTTGCGCAAAGCACTCTGCTAAATTGTGGGGGGAGGTACAAAGACTGGAAACTGCCCCTCCCTCAAGGAGCTTCCATTCTATTGCACTATTACATCCATTTTACAATCCAAACAGTAAGTTCCTAGTGTGTGCAGTGTTAGTAGCTAAGGAACACACAAGGTGTAGATGATATGGTCTCAATCTTCATAGAACTTGGTAGAACATATTCACAGATAACCAACATGAACATTATCTAAGTATCATCAGAGAGGTGAAAATGGGGGAAATGGTCATGGTGAAATCAGGAGGCAAAATTTTCATTTGGTTTTAAAATCGTGTGAAGAATTTAACTGAAAAGGAAGGTCTAGTGATAGGGAATGGCTTGAGTACACAAAAAGGAGACAAACAGCATGAGGTTGTGTGTGTGTGTAAGAAGACCAGAGAATAATCCAGTTTGGTGGAAACAAAGAGTGCATGGTAGGGGATTACGGGGTTCATTTGGTTCCCCAGACCAGTTGGTTCAAACTGAAATAGAAAGGAGTCACAACTCCAGACCTAAAGATCCCAGCAGCCCCATATTGAATATTGACTTAGAAAACCACACATTAACATTTATCTATATTGTACTGTGTTTTTATTTATTTTGTTAAGTTGTTCCCAATTATATTTTAACCTAATTTTGATGCACTGGGGAGTGACTCCTTGAAGGCTGGGATTGTCTTTTGCCTTTTTTTGTATCACCAACACTTAGCAAAGTGTCAGGCTCATAGTAGGCATTTAATAAAAGTTTATCGACTGACTTTTTTGTGTTATGGAACTCTTTGGCAGCCTGGTGAAACTTATGGACCCCTTGTGAGAAAAATGTTTTTAAATGCATAAATCAAAATACACAGGATCACAAAGAAATCATTTATGTTGAAATAGTTTTTAAAAATTTCATGGACCTCAGTTTAAGAACCCTTGCTCATGCAAGTGAGTTCGGATTGTGGAGGGCAAGCCTTGTAGGCCAAGTAAGAGTTCGAATTCCTTTGTACAAGTGTGGTCCTCCACTTAGAAAAACTTTCCCCCAATGTCTACAGAAACACAATTCATCTGTCCCTGCCCAGCTCAAAAGTCATCCTCGATCCTGGAACAGAAGTCATCCCTTGAGCCTGGCCCCACCCCAGAGCAATCTGCTGGTACATTTTGTGACACCTAGATTGCCTTGTATGTTTCTTGTTTGGGTACATGTTTTATGAGCTGGATTGAGGCTCCTTGAAGTGGGGACTTTACCTTATATGACTTAGTATTTCCCACAACCCTAGCAGCATTTTTATATATTTCAGGTGCTGAGCATTTGTGGGTGAATGAATGAATGGATGAATGGATGTTATTTCAGACACCAGGTGGAAATAAAATAAAGTTGACAAGCCTTTAGGAGTTCATTCTTCAAGGATGTGTGATGTCACCAGGGCTGGTATCTCTACTCTATAACTTAGTGGATGGATTTCAAGAGATATGGAGGGTGAAACGTCCTTGAACCTGGGACCATCCTCTGAATGTGGCCAGGTTTGTCAAGGGACATTCATTCCCTCTCCAGACCCATACTTAAAGCCTCTCCAGGTGGACAGAATCTGCTGACAGAGCTTGTGCTCTGTACCTTCTTGGAACTCAGGGTTCCATAATGTGCCATCTGAGTAAGACTTGAGTGGAGGTGGCAACAGATAAGGATGGGATCAATAGCTTGAGAAAGGGAGAAAAAAAAAAAAACCTAACCAGTTCAATATGTATAGTACAAAATGTTCCCTTTAGAGAGAGATTTCAAACAAGGAAACAAGGCTTGCTTTCTAATGGTTCCAGTATAATGTAAATCAGTGAAAGCACAGATTATTCCTTTTTTTGGTGGGGTGGGGGTGGGAAGAAGGTCTTCATTATCCCTAACATGTAACAAAGTCAGTGACTGGATACAGCAGTTATCAATAAATATTTGTGGAGTTGAACTGAACAAGAGAAGGCAGTGTGCCATAGTGAAAAGAGCACTGGATTTTGAAGTTTGGCATGTGGATTCAAGTCTCAATTCTGCTGCTTGATCAGACCTTCTAAGTAATTTTCCCCTCTCTAGTCCTCAATTTCTTCTTCTGTAAAATGAATAGGCTAGACTGGATTTCTCAGGTTCCTTCAAGCTGTAACCCTCTGTGAGTCCATGAAAGCTCCTCCTTGTTTAACTGTCTGGCACAATGATTAAACATTTCTCTCCTTCATAGTTGCTCACTGTTTAGGGTAGCCTTCCATATGAGTATAGGCAAGGAGGACTCTCCTAGTTTCAAGCTTCCTTCTTTTCATTTTCCAGACCTCAGATCTTTTTCACAGTAAAGACTCTTTTCAAATTCCCTGGGAAAAGCATTCCAGGCTAACAAAAAGACAACACTGGATGTCTTAATTAACACTCCTTTCATAACCAGGATGCCTCTTAGTAACAGCGTTATTCTGTCTCCCCTACCCCTCACCCTCCAGGGACTAGACAAGTATCACTTTCTACAGCATCAAGTTGGCCTAAAGTTCAGGCCTCTCCTAATGGGCTACAAAAAGGTGTTAAGAGGTTTGTTAGCTACAGGGCCAGGAAAGAAGCACTCAGCTAGAGCAGCAGCTTAACTATATAATTTATAGACATCACAGCCTCTTTCAGAAAAACAGTGCAACATTGGTGTTCATTTAAAGTTTTCAACATTAACCCTTCCCAGCAATATAAGTATCTGAGACATCTCCAAAGGCCTCATGATGGAAAATGCTATCCACATCCAAAGAAAGAACTATGGAATTTGAATGCAGATCAAAGCATACTATTTGCTATTTTTTTTCCTCTTCTGTCGAGTTTTGTTTTCTCTTTCTGGTGATTCCTCCTATTGGTTCTAATTCTTACTTACAACATCACTAATGTGAAAATATGTTTAATAGGAATGTATATGTATAGCCTATATCAGATTGTGTGATGTCTTGGGGAGGGTGGGGGGGAGGAAAGGGGAGAAAAATTTTAATCTCAAAAGCATATGGAAGTGATAGCTGATAAATCAAAATAAATTAATAAAAAAAAGTTTTCAACAGACCATTCTTAAAAGTTTTCAATAGCTCATTCTTAAAAGTTATTGCTGAATGAGATCTTACACTGAAATGTTATACCCTCCCAACATTTATCAACAATTTCAGAACACATTTAAACAACATTTGCTACATCTAACCTCAGATGATAATTTTTAGTTACTAAAAAGAAGCTACATTTCTTCTAACACATTTTCCCAGCTCTGCAATTTGGCATACTTGTTCCTTATGATAACTGAGGTTGGAAATGAAACTCCAAAGAATTGTTTCATAATACTTCTTAAGTCTTAAATACCGATACCTTAGTTTTAACAGGAAGGAAAGTTAATGACAGAAAAGGCCCATTCTGTGAAGTCAAAAATTTTTCAACTGAAAAAAAAATATGCTTATTAGGTATATGACTTGTAAATCCCTTCCTGTGCCCCTCCCCCCAGGTGGAGTATGAGGCAAAAGGAAAGGGAAGTTTCTGGTTTTATTAAGATAATTGTAAAATCATTTCCCAGGATACAGATATTGCCCCCTTTGCTAATTCTTAATCAGGGAACTATGAACAACAAAGAACAATGATCTGATGAAGAGGAGATCACAAGAAATGCTCACTGACCAAGCAAAAGCAAAATGAGTTAAGTCTAAACTAGACACATACCAGTAATCAGGATAGTAACTAAATAGTAGTAAAAAGAAACTCATGGTTTAAAAATTAGGGATTGAGACTGGACAAGTGATTTCACTGGCACAGGGTAAGAAGACTCCCTCTAATAAGGCAGGTCAGCACCTTCTCTGCAACGTATAGTTTCTCTTGCTCCCGAGCATGCAGAGATTAAATGACTTCCCTAGGGTCATACTGCCAATATTTATCATAAATGGGATCAAGCTTCTGAGACTAAATCAGTGAAAAGTAGGATAAATGATTGTTTCGGAATCAAACACTTTGGCCTTAACTTAAGACTCTGAACAATCACTGACAAAAAGATATTTATACAAAATTACAGCTAAGGATGTTTAAAAGAGCTAACCAGTTCTGAGAAATACACTGCCATCTCTTAAAAGAGCAAATCTAAGAAACGTCCCGAAGCAAACCCACGGCTGAAACCAGTGTGTCCAAGAACCGAATAAGGGACACCCTGTTCCTGTTCTTTCCATATGTGATGTAAGACCTAAGCAAAGGTAGGGTCCAACAACAAGCAACCTTTGATTATGTTATTTCGGACTTCTCCAGGAGAGAATCTGACTCCCAATCAGCCTGGTTAGACGGGCTGGTTAGCTGACTGGCAGGCAGACAGGGGCTTCCCATTCATTCCCCGGCGTCTCCCAGTCGCCGGGGCAAGAACGCGCGTTCCATTCGGTCCCGGGGGTTCTATGCGCCGGCTGGCTGAGTTCCACAAAAGAAACCTTGCCGCCGCGAACGTTTCATGCACTCACCTGTCCTGGAGGACGTACTCCCGGGACCAGAAGCCAGCTCTGTCGCCGCCAGGTAAGGTGGTGGAGGAGGAGGAGGACGATGGAGAGGGGGAGGAGGAGCACCGGTCTCAGACAGGGACCGAGGGGACTGGGATCGCGGAGGCGCGGGGGGCGAAGGGGATTGCCTCCGCAGCCTGGAGGAGGATACGCAGCAGAGGCTGGACACGTCTCTCTGGAGCAGGGCCGAGCAAAAACGGGTCGGGCTCTGATACATTCCGCGAGGGCGCGAACCGGTCGATGGCACGAGACCGCCGGGCGACCCAGGATACCACCGAGCACCGGTCCGGAGCGGGAGGGAAGGATGGAGGGAGAGAGGAAGGGAAGGATGGAGGGATGGATGGATGGATGGAGTCCTCCTCTTGCTGGGGAAGGCAGCGGCCGCAGGAGGGGCTGGGCTTAGGGCTGCCCGGCTGCTGCCGCAGCCCCCGCAGCCTCCTCCGTCAGCATTCACCGTAGGCTCCCGACGCCCGCACAATGGAGCCGGGGCCGGGAATGCAAGCGCAGGGGAAAAGTTGCGCTTGAGAGCGGATGAGGCGAGCCCTCTTCTCCCTCTCTAAGGCTCCTCTCTTCCTCCGGGCCGAGCAGGACAGAGAGCAGCTGGAGCGGGCGCAGCGGCGGCGGCGGCAGCAGCAGGCGCAGCAGGGACAGCAGAGCCAGCAGCGGTGGCGGCGGCGGCGACAGCAGCAACAACTGCCTGGCGCACCTCGAAGGCTAGAAGGCTAAGCAAGAGGGCTAGCGCAGGGCCCTGACGAAATGGGCTGCTACCAAGCAGGAAGGGGAGGGGTGTTCCGGGAAGATGGGCCCCACGCCCCAGCCGGACTCGGCTTTCCGGGCGGGGAACTACACAGTATTAGAAAGAAAAACATATTTAACTGTTTTAGCAACGAGGGTTACTAGGTTTCTGGGAGGATAAAGGGCCAGTTTCGGGGTTTGCAAACTGACACCTCCCCCCTTCCGGTCTCCGGAATGGAAGCGCTCTCCCCAGGCCGGGTGTCCCAAGCTGGTTCTGCAGCAGGGGCCCAGAGAAAGTGAGTGCCTGTGTCTGTGTGGCTCTCTGTGTGTCTGAACATGAACTAGAGCAAAGGTCACCCAGCCTCAGGGCACCCATTATATGTCCGTGGCTTTTCTGTTATGTTGCCGACGGCTCACACTTGTCACAAGCTCTCCAAAATGCTTTTCGAAGCACCTTAATACTTTTCTATGGGTCTGTGATCTCACTGATATGGGTACTTCTTTCAGCGATGCAGATTGTAATCCATCTAGGCTTTTCCCTCTAAGTCTTTCTAATTGCTGGACTCCTCGATTATACTTGGGTACCAGTGTAGCCCCATGTCTTTCTGATGTTCCTCGATCTTGCTCTTTTTCTGCTCATAAATCACTTTGATGAAGCATTTTACGCCCCTTCCTGGTCTTTGTGCTCCAAATCATAATTGGTAATATACTGCAGTCTCTTGTTGCCCATCATCCACTTGATTTTTCCTGTGTGGATAGTTAAACTAAACTTGGGAGATGGAATTCCAAGTAATCTACTTTGACTGGAACTTATAGTGACTGCTAAATCCTAAATGCTGATTGATAGATGGATTGAATGAAGGAGAAGAAAGTCAAATGCCTGGAAAAGTAGGCTGGAACCAAGCTGAGGAAACTCTAAGGCAAACAACACAAAGCCATTTGAAAATGGAAGCATTTGGAGGGACTCAATCCCCTCTCCATCCCCACTGCTATGGGAGAAAAAACTGGAAAAGCACTGAGTCTGTAATCAGAGGACCTGGATTCAAGTCACAACTCTGTCACATACCTCTTAGCTGTGAAAATTTGGGCAAATCACTCAACCTCTCCAGGCATTCATTTCCTCCTGTGACTAGGTGGCTTCTGAGATTTCTTCTAGCTCTGAATTCTATGATCTCTAGGTTGAATTCTTCTGTTTGAACTTAGTGCTGGGCATCCTTTATGACAGCAGCAAAGTCCTTTGGCAAATCTGTGCCTCCCTTGACATTATTAACCAGAGAAGATTATTGAACAAAGTCATCTCTGTTTCTGTGTCTATGAAAAATTAAATCTTATATGGTCTTAAGGTATATATGGACCTGAAGGTTCTAATAATAGCCAAGTACCAAAGGGAGTGTATAGATGGATCAGTATAAACATAGCACCTGAGCCTGGGAGTCTAAAGAGATGATAAATCATATCACCCTTCACTGCCTGGGTTTCCCAATCTGTAAGAAGGAAAAAATAATACTTGCTTTGTCAATTATGCATCATATAGGATAACATGTATAATAAGATTTTCAAAAAATTAAGAAAAAATATAGTTTAAGAATACCTCAAGGGATCAAGTAGATTTTTTGTGTCAAATTGACACAAATTGTCAGAATGTTTCTCCTAGTATTCTTTTGAAGTGTAGTCATTATTAAAAGCACCTCAAAAGGAGATTTATACACACACAAACACGTGCATATGAAGCATGCTATGTTTTTCTTGCAGAAAATTATAAGAAATTGGAGCATTTGTTTTCTCTTGCGGTGAGTAACACTCTTATCAAGATTTACAAAGTTTAAAGATAATGGTTATTGGAGTCTGCCACCAGAATTCTCCTTTTGAAGCCTCATCATGGCTTGGAGATGATCCTGGGTTCTTGAAGGCTATGCTGGTATGGAGGAGGCCCTGGTGGCATGGTGTAGCAGATATAAAATAACTGATCTTGGAGTTAGGAAAATTTATGTTCAAATCTTGCCTCTGACACTTACTGGTTGTGTGACCCTGGGGCAAGTCCACTTAAAGTCATTTGACCTCAGTTTCTTCATCTGTAGAATGGGAATAATATTCATAATAGCAGCCTCATTGTGAGGTTCACATGAGATCATGTATCTAAAAGCACTTTGTAAACTTTAAAGGGCTTTTAAATATCTATGATTGTTTCAAATTTTAATATTATCCTTACTAAGCTATGAAGCATTTGAATATGGGCTAAGTGACTGATGGACTTCCTTCTGAGGACTGGTCAAACCATAATGTTCTGTTTGGAAAGGCTTATCATGGGGTTGCCCACAGGTTAAGGGCATTTGGGGCCCTGGACGCTAGCAAAGATGTTCCTCCATGTTGAAAAGGAGGTGCAATCTGCATTGGTGAAGGGAGCAGCCACATCTGTGAAACCCCAGATTCTTGAGGAAGAAATAATTGAGTTGGAGCCTGCCCATGACAACTCATCATCTCCCATTTCTCTATTCTTTTCCTCACAAAAACTCCACGAAGGAGGCAGGGTTTAGAATTGTTGTTCCTAAAATGGATACTTTATGGTACTCCTAAATTTATGCCTGTTTCAGCTGTGCCAACTAAAGCGAGACAGGATCACAAACATCTTGAACATTATCTGGAAAATGAATGGATTTCCTTTTACTTTTTATATTGGGAAGCGGTGCACCAATTGAAGAGTTTGGAAGAATAACATCGAAGAGTAAGGATGAAATCTGCCATTCTGAAGGGCTTGGGAGAAGGGTCTAGTTCTCAGGTTCTTGTGAATTTGGGGTTCAGTTAACCATAACTAGAAGAGTTAGGTGTGCAGCTATGCCAGAGCCCAAGAAAACAAGAGTTCCAGGGGATGCTGTTTTGCATTTGAACAGGAAACTAATTGAAATGGTCTGCAAATATGTGCATTAAATCCTTCTGAGACTCTTATCCCTCACATCCTTTTGATACAAAGACCTTTTTTTTCCCCCAGGGGCCTTGCAGCAGGTGTTTTTTTATCCGGGCATCCACAGGATCTTTAGCTTTTTTTGTTGTTATTTCTTCTTTGAAATAATAATAGACACCCAACTCCAGTCTATATAATTTAGAGGTAATTTGTACTAGAGTAGAAGTAAAAATTTTAGGTTCTATTTTTGAGTTTCATTCAAAAAAGTAAAAAAACCACAGGCCTTCCTCTCTCTCCCCACCCTCCTCCTTAGTGTATCATTCCATGTCAGGAAATCTTTCAAAGGTCAAAGTATTATTCATTCTAATTCTTGGAAAATCAGCCTTTTTAGGTTTTCCTATTTTGTTCAGATGATGACTAGGGATGGAAAATGCTCTAGAAGATTCAAAGAATGGATAGCACTCACCCTGGAATGAAGAAACATAGATCTCATTTTTTTTTTTGAGAGATCATTACAAATACAAAAGTGACTATGGGTATAGATTATTATCAGATATAATTGATGTATTAGTTTTGCTGATCTGCTTCCTTTCTCTTTTAAAATATTTTTGTTTTGTTTTAAACAAGGCATGTATTACTGGAGAGAAGGAATATATTTAGAAATGAATTACTGTAAAAGCAAAACATGTCAATAAAAAAAGGAAATAAAAGGGCAAAAGCAAAAATATTTCCTGTTTCTTCTTATGTTTTTTATATCATTCATAGTGTTGGTTAGAGTTTTAAGACTTTAAAAAGAGATAACACCAGACTGAATCTTGAAAGCCTATTTTTTTAAAAATGTGATTAATTGTAAACATGAATAGAATTGGTTTTTATTTTTATGGAAAATTCAGCTCACAGGAAATTACTCTAATGCTCTAATAGATATATGATCTCAGTGAGATGGATACTTCCTCCATCGATGCAAATTGCAACTGACTTGAGAAGTAGCATGGTACAATAGAAGCTGACTCTTATCAGTGGTCAAAGGACAGCTCTGTTTCTTCTACTGTCCCGGATCTTGGACAAGTCATCACCTAAGTTTCAGTTGCTCTCTCACCCTAGCTATAAAATAAGTGGGTTTAACCAGATGACCTCTAAAATCCCTCCCAGGTCTAAAGTCATGACTTTTTGCCTATCCATCCTCCCCTAAATTTGCACCAAGGAGAGTCCACTCAATGTGCTCTGGACATTGTTTTTATTCTCTTGACCTTGTGTGGATAAAGTGGAGCACACCAGGTTACTCCAGCCTTTACCTTCCAGTGATTCTCCTTTGCCTTCAGGGAAATCCTCAGCTTACATCCTTTGAAGAAGCTAGTATCCCATGACTAGTAGCCAAATAGTATGACTAAAACAAATTTGGTGTTAAAAAGATTGGTCTTTGTTTCAAGGTTATCAAACAATTAATCAAACAAGCATTTTTTAAAACACTATATTCTGTGCCGGTTGTGCTGCGCACTCTCCTTCTAACAGGAGCAGGCTGCCAAGGTCATACTTACCAGTCTTCGGAGCCCACCCGGATAAACACAGAGACGAGCCGATCAGGAGGTGCAAACACTCGAACTTTATTCAGAGGCCATCACAGCAAGGCCAAGCAGGAAAGCAAGAGCAAGAGAGAGCGAGCTCCGACCCCTACCGCCCCTATATACCTTCCTAGCCCCTCCTCCTCAGCCCGCCTACCAGTGAATGATTGTAGGATCAGATACCGGAAGGGGATGTCTGGGGTTAGCGCTGCACCAAGGGAGAGGACTAGACAAAGGGAGCTTGTTCTCTGCCGTCCCACTCCCACGTGGCACAGCCCCCTGCCTCAGGAGCGTGAGCTCCGGTTACTTCCTAATATCTTGTCCCTGCCCCATCTTTCCACAACCCCCACGTGGCACGTAGCCAACATCAGACAATCCCTCACAATATTCCAG